ATATACAAAATCAGTTTTATAATTACCTCAGAAGTAGTGGAAATAAGAATGAGTTCTTCACAACGAGACATAAAAAGGGCAATCGATACCATCCACAAGACTGCAGCAGTAGGAGACATCTGCCGATAACATTACGCCTGTAGTCAGTGGCTCCACACATCTCCCTGTACAACAAAGCCAAAACTGCCGAGCCCCAACTGAATGATCCGGCGAGACGAAAGTCGCTAAGATGTCGCAACCACATGCAGTGAACTAGGTTGCGCGATTTGTCCGGCATCAGCAACCCTCCTATCAACTGTAATATGCATGCCCGTGCATACATCTTAACCTCATCCTCAGAGGCGTCTGCGCTCAACTCCCGAAAATTAGTATCTAACCAATTTAACGGTATCCTACCTCCTATAAAAATTTTCGGGATACGTCCTAGATTATCCCGACACAAAGTAGTCCAAGAACCGGAAGCTATCCCTGATATTCAATCTCCATCCACCGGAAGCCCCAGGTGCATAAAAACATCCTCAAGTGTGATCGTGCACTCTCCGCACGGAAGATAGAATATGTGGGTCTCCGGCCTCCACCGCTCTACTAAGGCATAAATAAGGTCTGGTTATATCTTATAGTGACCCTGATAGCTACATATGTAACCAAATCCAACCTCTACTAAATACGGCAAGACGCGGCTAGGTATCACTAACTTAAGATTCCAAATAAAAGGATCTAATACACGGTCCTTCTCCTAAAAATAAATAATTACAAAAATTAATTCTTAATCTAATAATCATGCATTAAATAAATCAACTAATTATTACTAATAATTTAAATTAAATTAAAACGTTAAAATGTTACCATATCAGCAAAGTGTCGAGATATATGATTTTCATCCAAGCGAAGTATATTTCCTTCCATTATATATCTGTAAAAGAATTATATTAGTAAAATATTAAATAAAGTAAAATACTTAAATAAATTAAATACATAATATTAAAAATATTATAAAATATACCTTAAGCAGAGAGAGTATTTAAGAGAAATTGAGAGAATTTGGTGTGATGAAAGTGATTGAGGATGGGGTATTTATAAGGAGGATTGGGGTGTGGACGGGTGGGTAATTAAAGGTATAGCGCGCCCCCTGTACTGCGCTATACCCCACATGTCAGATAACCAGGTATAGCGCGGCCCCTGATCCGCGCTATACCCCTACGTGGCGTATAGCGCGAATCAGGGGACGCACTATACCCACGTGTAATCCATGTCAGCGTATAGCGCGGTGCAGAGGGCGCGCTATACCCTACGTGGTGCCAAATCAGCATATAGCGCGAGGCAGTGGGCGCACTTTACTGTTACGGGTGTTAGATCGGGAAATATAATCTGACCGGTGTTAGATCGATAAATATACCGATCACCGATGATTTTTCGAGAATTTCACCGTTCTTTTCTGTCACATAAGTAAAATTATATTACTAAGTTATCATTTTTTGTTTGTTTGAACACCTAAACTTTTAAAATTTTTTTAAATTATATCTAACATTTATTTTTGTTTTTTTAAGTACCCCACTGTTAAAATTTAATGACACTGTATTTTTTATAAGTAAATTACATCATTCGTCACCTAACTATATTCTCACTCCTATTTTGGTACTAAAGTTTAAAAATTTTCAATTTAATTACTCAAATTTCAAATTGCTCATATTTTAATCACTCTAATTTATTTTATTAATAATTTTTGTGACATGACATCTTTATTATTATTTTATTAATATATAATTAAGAAAAAATAAATTTAAAAGTTAGAGTGATTAAATTATGAGTAATTTGAGAGTTAAGTAATTAAATTAAAAAAATTAAAACTTTAGTGACCAAAATAGGAGTGAGAAGATAATTGAGTGATGAATGATGTAAATTACGCATAAATAGTGCTACATGCAAATCACCCATTTAAGTTTTAACAACAAGATATTAAACCGAAATAAAAACTAAATATTATGTACGATTTTAAAAAATTAAAAATTTAAGTATTAAAATTTGATAATTTAGGTACTAAGCATAATTTTTCCATTATATTTTGTAAAAAGTATCCTCTGCTAACGTAATATTGAGTTTTGAAAAATATATATATATATATACATATATTGTTTGACCTCCATAGAAGTTGATTGGGTTAGACTAAAATTAACGAAAAAGAAAACGAGAGATAAAAATATAAAAGTAGTATAGGAATTTTGTTAAAAATACGTGTGATGTACGTCTTTGATAGGGATGGCAACGGTGCGGTTTCGGGCCGGGGATTGGTTCCCCGTCCTTGTTTTTGTTTAAAAAATTCGTACCCGTCCCCGTTTAAAAAAGCACAGGGATTTAAACGGGGATCACAATCGGGTAATCAGGGAAAATAGCGGGGAAACGGGTATCCCCGTTTAGCATAAACAGTTATTTAAACGAGTATCGGGCCAGGTATATATATTTAAATTATATATATATATATATATTTAATTTAAATTAAATTTATTAATATTATATATATATAAAATAATTATTTTTAATATTTATCGGGCCTGGTATTCGGGTAATCGGGGTGGGGTTTGGTCCGCTTATCATCCTCGAACCCGACCCGTTTAATTCGGTTTTCGGTTTTCCCCGACGGGTTCGTTTTTTTTGTCATCCCTAGTTTTTGACACATAATTACAATATCATGAACACGAGCTAGGGCTGAGTAGAAAATCAGAAAACTGATACGAGCTGGACTATTTGATTCGATTTGGTGTAGGTTTTTTAATTTAAGATTCGGTTTCGGTTTGATTTAAAAAAGTAAATATACAATTCGATTCGGTTTCGGTTTTTTCATGTGAAAACAGTTTGAACCGAATTAAATTGAATTAAAAAAAATAAAAGATAATATGTATCAAAAACTCATTTATTTTGAATTTATTACAATACAAATTTAAATAAATAAAATATTAAAATTAATACATCTTTTTATAAATTTAAATTTTTATATTTGCACTCGATTTAAGCTTTAAATTTATCTTTTTTGGAGCTTGAGTTTGAAAAATAGTAAACAGTAAAAAACAACCGAACCGAACCAAACCAAACGAAATCGAATCAAAAATCGTGGTTTTTGTGTCGATTGGTTTCGATTTCCGTTTCCATTTTTAAAAACCCGTAAAGTACAATTCGGTTCATATTTTAGTAAAAATCGAACCGAACTGAACGAATACGCTCCTAGCACAAGTTAGATGACGACAACATTGTATAATATCTTATGTTTAATCACTCAATATATACATGTTTAAAATGATATATTTAAACATTTGAAAACTCATATATACACAATATGAGAGAGATTTGAAAAGCTCCTAAGAGTTTTCAAATCTCATATTATTTAGATATGTGTATTTTCAAGTGTTTAAATATAGTCTTTTAAACATGTGTTTATTAAATGATTGAATATAAGACTAATACACATATTGTCATCGTTGATCTACTACTACTTGCATTGTGCGTGTTTGTTCTTTTTGAACATTTCCATATACTTTTTTTCCATATTTTTTGCCCTTCTTTTTTCTTTTCTTTCATTTCATTCCAACCTGATCAATTTCTATAAAGATCAATGGTAGGATTTCCTACAAAACATTTTTTCATCTATATGAAAGAAAACGGTGTTAATCTAAAAAATAATCATATATGCATGTCTCAATGCTTAAAGGAAGTGTTGTTCTACTTTGAGATTATGGGTTTAAGTAGTTGTGCATCAAGGTGTGTGTGCGTATTGTCAATGTTTACAAAAATTATAAATAGATAATACCTTATAATTATCCTAGACTGTTAAAACCCCCCTCAATTCTCAACATTTGATTGAATAATCCTTAAATTAATAGGTGAGTAATTAAGACTTAACTATTAAATCAAAATCATAAATTTATTTAATTATTGAAAAGGAATATCATTTAACTAAATATGGAATAGAAATTTATTAAGTGGTTTTAGTAGTAAAAATAAATATTGTTTAAATTTAAGCAATTATGTTTATAAGATATATACATTGATAAAAAGTTAATTTTTTTAAATAAATATTATTTTATAATTATCTCATATTACTTAAAAATTTAAATGTGTCATAAAAATTAAATAAAGAGAAACAAACTTAATCTATTTTAACACATCCTAAGCATTTTAACTTAATGACATAATTTTAAAATGATAAAAGTGTACGTGAAGGCTCTGTATTTTTTTTATAAAAAAAATTCAATATGGTCTTCATATTATTTGGCCCTCTAACTCAAAAAAGGAATTAAATGTGATTTTTTGAGTAACATTTTTTGTTATTGATCAACAATTTCGTTAATGTCTGTTGATGTGATGCTTTCTCAAATATGTTACGAATGTAATATTACTTGTGGTTGTTGGTAGAAACGGAAATAATTAGTTTTCGATTACAAAATCAATCGTTGAAGGCGGATGAAATGAATTATGGAGATGGGTTTTTTTTTGTAGAAATTTATGGTTGATTTAAAGCATCCTGATGACAAATGATTTACACTAATATTGATCAATGACAAAAAATATAGCTCATAGGATCACATTAATTTTTTTTAAATTAAAAGATATTAAAAATAATAATACAATAACCATATTTTTTTCAAAAATACATAAATTTCACGTACTCTTTTGCCTTTTAAAATTTATTTTGCGTCTAATATAATCTTTAAATTAATAAGGACACTATTAGCATCGTAGGGAATAATTTGGCGTGATCACAATCATCAACGCTAAAACTCATTCCTCAAAAGAAAAAAGAATCAAGTACGTGGCCCTTATAGTTAAATACAACTAAAAAAATCATTAAACCACGTTCTCGAATATATCTAACCGGCTATTTCCGGTAAAGTAACCCCCAAAATAAATAAAAACAAATTGAGTATTGACTTATTTTGGCAATGGCGGCAACCCCTTCAAGCCAAAGCCCAAAAAAATTAAACCGGCTAACCCAGTCATTTAAAGTTTTTTCACCGCTCCCCTTTCTCTTTCTCTGCCCTCCCGATATTCTCAAGAAAAGAACTCTGCGATTCTTACTTTTGTTTGCTCTGTTTTCTTCTTATCTCAAAAGCATCCCTATCGCCTGTTATTTTCTCTCCGTGAGGTAGCTTCGGTATTCTCCAGATCTAATTCCATGTTTTATTTTAAATTAATTAGAACGGTGAAGCAAGCAAGCAAGCAAAATTGAATAAAATAGCAACTCTGTTACATTTTTTTTTAACAATGATTTTTTAAAAAATTAGTAAATAATCATGTAATAGAAATATGATTATCTAAGCAACTCATGTTACTGGAGTTCTGTTTATTTTCATGGACTTTTTTTTTCAAGTTATGTGATTAAATTAGGTTCCAACTTCCAACTTGCTTGAAGAGTTGGCTTGTACTTTGAAATATCATTTTGGTTTTTTGTTTATTATTATTATTATTATTATTATTATTATTATTCTAGTACTTAAAAAAGGATCGAAGTCAAATTGTTCATTATGTGCTGAATTTTGATTTACATGTTTATATAAGCGATTATTGCTAATCTTTTTGATGTTTTTGGTTTACTGTAGAATGACAGGAGCTAGAGGTAAAGGTGCTGTGAAGAACACAACTACATCCTTGAAGCCTGCTGATGACAGGTTAGTTGACTTAGTTCTTCTTTTTCCTCTTTTTACATCTATAATTAATTTTGACATACGAGAATTTGCTAGTTGTGTCAGTAGCGTTTGCTAAGTCATTGAGTTTTGTTGATGCTTAATGGATGTTTAGATATGAGTATGGTTGATATAGCTGTTGGTATAGGAATATTGCAGTGATGTATATATCATCTTTCTTATTCCTTTCAGAAAGGTTGGGAAGCGGAAGGCAACTGTCGATGGAAGCACAGTTCGGAAAGCCAAGAAGGAGAGAAAGGCTAATAAAGATCCCAACAAACCAAAGAGGCCTCCTAGTGCTTTCTTTGTTTTCCTGTATGTATTTGTATAAATATAAATTACATGAATGTGGTGCTCTATTTTTTATGGGGTTTGTTTAATCTTGTTTGTGTAACAGCGCGGAGTTCAGAACTACTTTCAAGAAGGAAAATCCTGATGTGAAGGCTGTATCAGCTGTAAGTTGCAATCTTAGAGCATGCTATTCAAGTTATGTTTTCAGAATGTTATGGTTGCTTATTTGAATTTCTTTGCTTGAAGGTTGGAAGAGCTGCTGGTGAGAAGTGGAAATCCATGTCTGAGGAAGTAAGTTCTGAAACCTTTATTATATAGATGTTTTGTTTTTGTCTGGATACTCTAATTTGCATGGACTTTGGGCATTGATAAATATCTCCATCTTTTTTGGCTTCAACTTTGGATTTCTTTGTGGCATACTGTTGTCTGAAGCTCTAAATATCGGCATACGCATTATCATTTCTTCTAAACACTTCTGTTGGTGGTGCGAATTAGTGATCTTAGTATTTAAAATTTCCATTTTCATGAAAAGGGTTGTTACTAACTGTAATAATTTCCTTTGACGACTTTATTGCATGCTTATGAAGGACAAAGCCCCGTATGAGGCCAAAGCTCAAAAAAGGAAGGGTGACTATGAAAAGCAAATGAAGGACTACCACAAGAAGCAGGTGAACAATTGCCTTATGATTTCTCCATTTCAAACAATGATTTTGCTCTACATTTTACTGATTTTACTATAACTGTCATAATTGATAGGGAACTTCTGCTAATGGTGTGGCGGACGACGAAGATGCTGAAGAGGCGAATGATGAAGAAAATGAGGCTACTGGAGAGGTAATTTAGTTTTAATTTCTGGCTGCATCACTTTGGGTCATGTTTTATGTGCATTACTTGTTTGCATGCCCCTACTTTAATCTGATGTTGTGAACCTTTTGGAAGGACGATGACGTGGATGATGATGATGAAGATTGAAAGTCAATGGTTGACTTGGACATGAAATGATTGAACATTGCAAAAAGTTTCTATATTTTGTATGTTCATACTTGCAGGTCAAATGGTAGCTCTCTGAATACCTTAGCTTCATGATGCTTTAGTATATTTCTTGTTTATCCAGTATATATTTACTAACAGGAAGATGCATATTCTAGGGAGATACTATGCATCATGTTTCATTAAATTTAGTTGTTGAACTTACTTTGGTTTATTTTTCCTGTATTTTTTTGTTAAGACATTCTAAGTCCCCTTGCTGATTAGATTAATTTATTCCCGATTTCCAAAAAACTTAAATAAACAGCTTTGCCATAATATTGTACCTATGACAATAATTAGTGCCTCCGCCATTTTATTAACATAATCTCCTTCATATGTCCCTATAAACCCCCTTCATCCACCATAACGTCTCTGCCGTTGCTGAAAGGATAGCAATGCCTTCAAAAACTCGGCTTCTCCGAAATCAGGCCAGAGTGATTGTGCAAAGAATAACTCGGTATATGCCAACTGCCATAACATGAAATTGCTGATTCTAAATTCTCCGCTGGTCCGTATGAGTAGGTCCGGACGGGAGAATTCGGTGCAATTTGTTTGTAGTTCTTGTTCCATTAGAGAGATGTCGATGTCACTAGGCTCGATAAGACCATGCTTAGCCTTTAGAGCTAGCCTTTGGCAAGCTTGAATGATATCGTATTTTCCGCTGTAACTGACGGCTATGATTAGTTGAAAATGCGAATTGTTCTTGGTGGTTTCCTCCAAGTTGAGTATCAGTTCCTGAAGGGCCTCAGGGAGCTTGGCTAGATCTCCAATTACAGATATTCTGATGTTTTCCCTGTTATAAGAGCAAGACAACATATCACCACATTTTTCCTTAGAAGCTGTCAACAAGTCAAAAAAGGGAATCAATGCAAATTATGAGAGAGAAAAGACTCATAGCATTTATATTCGTCAAATTCTGCTATTAGTCCTTGGAGTTTACCTAAGTAGTGGATTTACTTCAATTTGATAATTCATAATAATGTACTTCCCGAGTTTTAAAATTTCAATCCTGACACAAATGTAAGTTGATATATTTTCAAAGTTAATATGATCATTGGTCATATTGAAAAATAGAGACTGAAACTACAACTTACGCACAATATAAGACCCAGCAGTAGAATTTAACCTAATGAATTTAACGATTACCGTTGAGTTTAGATCAAATCTTCAAAGTTAGAATAGCATATGGATTAATAATGGATTTTATGATGAACAATGCAAAGCACGTGAAATATTCTTGAATGCATGAGGAAATAAAGTACAACACAATATTCTTTATATAGTTAACTGCCTACAGCTTATAGGTGATTTGACCTAACTGACACCGTTTAATCGAATATCTCCCTTTCTGACACCGTTTGACCTATATTTCTCGAAGTGGCATCTTTTCGGTTGAGGTGGCGAAAGGTGTATCCCCGGGAACGAGCTTTACCTGGGTTAATGCTGAGTTGGCTGCCACGTGTGGAAGGCGCATCCCCAAGGATGCGCCTTCACGGGATATTGCTGATTCGGTTGCCTTAAATGTCTTAAATGCTCATCCAATATTCCCCAACTACCCCTCCTCCTCCTCCCCTATATAAACCCCCTCAACCCCCCTCATTCTTCACACCAAAATCATCTCCTCCTCTCTTATATAACTCAAATTCTCCAAATCTTTGAGTTTTAAATTTCTTATTAGTGGTAATAAATTTATTTTTAAGTTAATATTTTTTTAAAATAGTTATTATATTTTATATTAATATAATTATATAAATATTAGTTTTTATTAAAATAATATTTATATAATTATTATTTTTTTAAATTTATTAATTAATTATTTTTTTTGCTAATTATTTTTTTGTCTACAGTTATAATAGAAAGTGAAATGCTGCTACGATTGGATGCTGACCATATCTACAGTATAATTAAATGTGTAATTATACTGATTTTATTAAATTATGCATCAATATTTTCGTTAAATATTGATAAGAGGTGACTAGATTGATAACATTTAAATAATTAACTGATAAAATTAATAGATCGATAATCACAACCAAAAATAATAATATAACCATATGTGTAATATTATAATTTCATACATTTTTCCTATAACTACAATAAAATCAAAACTGATTTTCATCTATTGTTCTATCAGATTAATGTGGATAATTCACTCTACCTTTAACACACATTAAAAAAATACATTTGATAATTCTTACATTATAATCGAAACACTTTACATAATATATTACTAATTTATAATAATAATAAAATTAAAATATTTATTATTAAAAAAATACCAGCGTGGTATCCGAATCAGTAATACCCAGTGAAGGCGCGTCTCCGGGGATGCTCCTTCCACACGTGGCATCCAACTCAGCATTAACTCGGGTAAAGCGCGTCTCCAGGGATGCGCCTTTCGCCACCTCAGCCGAAAGAGTGCTACTTCGGGAAATATGGGTCAAACGGTGCCAGAAAAGGAGATATTCGGTTAAACGATGTCAGTTAGGTCAATTCGCCCAGCTTATAGCTGACTAGAACAATATGTAACAACTCGTAAAGTCTAGAAGTTAGTCTAGAAGCAAGAGACAATATGGGCCATATTTCATAACCCAATATTCTCCCAGCTTCATCTTCCTTATTCCCTTAACAAGGTAGAACGCATATTTTGTCTCTAAAACCTCGAAGGCCGCTTTGGTCAATGGTTTCGTCCACCCATCGACAATTTGAAGATTTACATAATTGACACGCAGGTGTTGGGCTGCCACCTTTTCTTTGACAAAGTGCGCTTCTAGTTCGACGTGTTTTGAGCGGGCATGGTAGACTGGATTTACGCTCATCGCGATGGCACCAATATTATCGCACCAAATGACAGATTTGCCACATCGTTGAACACCCAGTTCATCCAACAGAGAGTTAACCCAAGTCACCTATTCCATTGCATCAGCAATGCTCCTGTACTCAACCTCCATTATGGAGCGCGAGACCGTTTTTTGTTTCTTTGAACTCCATGCTACAAGACATTCTCCTAAGAACAATCTATGTCCATAAATTAACCGACGATCGCTAGCATCTCCACCCCAGCCAACATTTGAAAACGCGTGTACGCTTAGCCCATCTTTGGATGCTGAAAACACTAACCCATAGTCTAGGGTTCCAACCAAGAAATGCAAGATTCTTTTCATGGTTATGAGATGATTCTCGTGTGAAGCATGCATGTGTTGAGCTATTTTGTTCACGCAATACGCTATATCGGTCTAGTATGGCATATATAGAGGAGTGCCCCAACAATACTACGATACTCACGAGCATTACTCAGATGAGCATAATGATCGGCAAGCTTTGGCGCAACTATCATGGGAGTATATGTGGGTGTAGCTTGAAGTATGTTTGTCTTTTCCAGGAGCTCAAGTATATATTTTCTTTGACTTAAGGTCATCGAGATCTTTGAGAGAGAAGCTATCGTTTGAACATTTGCACTACCATGCCAATATCTTCATCTGACCCTTCGGTGATTATAATGTCATTGATGTAAACCAGTATATATGTATAGCACTTATTGACATATCGAACAAAAAGGGAGAAGTTGGCTTGAGACTCAACAAATCCTAGCTCAAGAAAGCTTCCTTTGAGTTTGTCATTCTAGTTCCTTGGGGCTTGCCTTAACCTATATAAGGCTTTATATAGTTTATAGACAAGAGCAGAACCATCGGGTGCACATCGCTCAAAGCCAGGGGCTGGTGCATGTATACGTTTTCGCTTTAGTCCTCATAAAAATGCGTTATTCAAGTCTACATGCCTTAGGGACCATCATCGTGAAACTGCTATAACAAATATGACATACAATGTTGAATAGCGGACAACTGGACTGAAGGTTTCAGTAAAGTCAAGACCAGGAACTTGTGAGAACCCCTTCGCCACTAATCTCGCTTTGTAACGAAGAATGGTGCCATCTGCTTAGGTGTTATTTTTCTGAAGTGCCATGAACTCATTGTTGACAGCCTCAGTCCACTTCGAAGATTGGAATGCTTCATGCACATTTGAGGGAATAACTTTATAAAAAAAAACTTGTGTACACCTTAGGTTTAAATACCCCTCATTTGTTGCGCGTCAACATCGGATGTAGATTACCTATCGATCATTCACATGGACCACTAGGTATTGTTTGTTGGCTTCCCATAGAATTCTTTATTTGGCTATTCACGTAATCACCAGGTTTGGTGTTAGTAGCCATAATCCCAAGCGGTGCAGCCGTTTGACCAGCATATTCATGGGCAACATCAGTGGGCTCATCCGATTGTCCAGCATATTCATGGTCAACATCACTGGGTTGCGCACAACTAGTGGCTTCCTCCGCTCTAGTTGGAGATTCTGCCAGCCTATCAAATCGATTTGAGGGCCTCATGTCATCCGTTGGTATAATAGGCGCTGAGCTAGAATTTGCCTCAGTTTGTGTGCTTAACATGCCATGCACACTTGTAATACGTAGCCAATTCACGTCCACTACAACCTCAAGTGGCTGACTCGTGAGAGTAGGGCAAGGTTGCTATTTGTTGGCAATGTTAGTTGTAAAGGGAAATAACCACTCATTGAATTTTACGTGCCTCAACACATAGACACGTCCAATGAGCCCGAGGTAAAAATATCCCTTGTGCTGAGGGCTAGCTCCCAGGAAAACACAAGGCTATGAGCGGAAGTCTAGTTTGTGTCAATTATAAGGTCGAAGATAGGGAAAACATTGGCAGCCAAAGACCTGAAGCAAACTGTAGTTCGATTCTTTTCGAAAGGCGAATATCATTGCAGAACCTTCGTCGGAAGCTGAAAGATGAACGACCATAAGAAAAATATAAGACCAGAATCGAATTGGAATAGACGTCTGTGCCAAAAGCACGAGAGCAAGTTCCACCACATGCCTACGTTTCCGCTCGACCACACTGTTTTGCTCGAACGTATGCAGACATGTAAGCCGATAAACAATCCCTTCTTTGACAAGATCAGTAGATGTACTCCTATGCTCGCCTCCCCAATCACTCTGCACAGTCATAATTTTTCTTTGAAATTACGTTGAGACAAGTTGCTGAAACAATTGAAATGCATGGATGACCTATGACTTATCTTGGAGCAAATAGAGCCATGTATGACGTGTGCATGCATCCACAAATCTTATATAATAACGATAGCCATTGGAAACAACATGGGAGGATCCCCATAAATCGATGAAAACAAGATGAAAAGGAGTCTCATATATGGTATTTGAATCATTAAAAGGAAGTTTGTGACTTTTTCCCATGTGACAAGCCACACAGAGCTTTTTTGAATCACTCAAAACAATTACATTTAGTAGTTTGCAAATTTTCTCTAGGGTTCAATGAGCTGGGTGCCCTAAGTGATGATGCCAAATGTGATATAACCAATCCATGGTAACATCTAAATGAACTTCAGCGGGTGAACTCCTTGCTTCTACACCATCAACTTCAAATGAGTAAAGACTATCTCGCTCATTCCCTTACAACAAAACATCTCTAGAGTCCTTATCACAAACATAGCAGTAAGTGACATGGAACTCAAAATACATTCCCTTGTCCCTAGCAAGCTTTGAGACGAAGATAAGATTATTAGTTATCGATGAAACATGCAATAAATTATTTAACGAAAGAGCTCAAGAGGTAGTACTCAAAGTAGCTTTACCACAAGCATTAACGGGTAAGGAAACATCATAATCTACAACGAGATTACCTGGATCGAATAGATTGTCTTTGTAAAGAAGGTTGTAAGCGTCTGGGGTCACGTGATGTGTAGCCCCCGAATCCACAATCCAATAATCTCGGTTAGATCAAGTGGAAGCTTGCGGTTGAGATGAGAAACATACCAGACCATCAGCTCGCGTCTTGATGCAATACGAACAACAATCACCCTTAGGCGAACCAGTCTCCAAGCTGGTATAGGACATATTACTAGTGTTATCAGCACGATTATGATCAGTAGATTTACCAGAAAAAGTCTAGTCAAATCGAGGCCAACAATCAGCAACGAGATGACCATTCTTCCCGCAAAGTTGACATTGTACCTTAGGGCACCTATGCCTTCGTCCACCAGATCTATCTCGAGAGTTGTGCATAAGAGTATTATGCCGATTGAACGAATAAATGTCATTCTCCTTAGTTCCAGTAACAACATGAGTTAAGTGAGCACTCATCGACAGTGACTTGTCTTAGGCACCGTTACCAACAAGATGCTTCTCTGCATCGATCAGAACAGATGCAATCTGTCACACCTCAAATTAGAGCCTAAAGTTTTCTTAAAATTTTTAGGACTAAATTAAAATTTTAATTAAATTTGGGGGACCAAAATGAAATTTTAGTTCAATTTATACCCAAATCAGGAAATAACCAAAATCTGAGGACATATAATATAATTTACCCATTTTCCTTTTTGGTTGGGTTCAAAATTTTCTCTCTCTTTAACTTTTCCTCATTTAGAAGGAAACATTCATTTATCATTTTGTCTTCGATAATTGCTCCGTTTTTTACACCTCTCGCACCATCGTGTTCCTTGCATTGTCCCGAGTCCACCAGTAACTATCTTGTCTCCGTTGTCACTGGCGTGTGAAGGGGTGAGGAAGATAAAAGTTTTTTACGTTTCGAAAATGAGATCTCTGTCGTTCACCATTGTGAACCGAGCTTGGTAAGTGTCTCAAAACCCCTTAAAAATATGTAGGATTTTTTCAGAAATTTTTTGACCTTCAAGAGCCCCGCACACGCCCTTGCTTGTGGGGAATTTCCACCGCTTGGTGGGCTGCTTGATAATGGGTTGACCCGACCCGTATGCCCGACCTGACTTGTGTCTAACCAAATCCGTCCCAATCCAAACTGAACCAGTCAACCATTAACGACCGTTGACCTTGACCGTTGACCGTTGACAAACATTGACTTTTTTTAAAACCTTCATTTTAACCTTTTTCGACGTCCTAAGTCTGATTCAGTGATTCGTTTTTCCAAATTCTGACCCAAAAGCCATGAATAGAGCTCGTTAATTCGAAAACACTTAGTATTTTTAGCATTTTTTTCTTATTTATTTGAGATTTGATTATGAAATTGATTTGAGAATATATTTTTATAAAGGTATTCATATTTCACCCGACCGAGGGTCGGTTAGATCTGGTGTTTCCCGTCCGTCAGATTCGCACGATCCACGTTCCTTGAGAATTAATCGTAGGTATTTGTAAATTATTTAAATAGGGGTTATTATTATTCATATTAGGATTTCGATATGGATTTTCTAATTCATAGGATCTAGCGCTGCTGCTGACCGTGATCAGCAGACTCAGTAGTAAGCTTTTTTATCTGATTACTCAGACTGGTACAAGTGTGTTTCCTGATGGTGTTACATTACTATTTTAAATTATTCATCTGAATTGTTTTAGACTTCTGATAATACTGAATATTTTTACGACACGATACCTGACTTCTGAATATTGTTTATATGATATCTGATTTACTGTACATTTTTGATATGATCTTTAAATTTTGTATTTTTGTATCTGAATTTTGAGTCTATAATATTTTCATGTTTTAATGGATTCAACTACCGTTTTCACTTGAATACATTCATGTTTATTACTGTCATTGGGAGTATTATTGGAGGAAGTATCTTAGGCCTACTCTATGACTTGTAAGACCTTACCGCACGTTCATCAGCTTTGTGTTCAGGGTAAGTCCTTATCGCAGGCATCTCGTCTTTGTGCTTAGGGTAAGTCCTTACCGCAAGCTCAGCGACTTTGTGCTCAAGGTAAGTCCTTACCGCATGCTTATCGGCTTTGTGCACAGGGTAAATCCTTACTGCAGGTCCTTATGTCGTGTATATAAGGCCCTTATCGGGTGTACATGTGGGTATATGATTCTGGGGAACCTATACATTCTGGTGATCGGATGGGAGTAGTGTTCATATTTTTAAAACATGTTTAATAAACTGATTTTACTGAAGTATTTTATCTGTATGTTTTAATACACCCTAAGAAGCACACTGGGCTTTTTAGTTTATTCTGTAAATTGTAACCTTTTCAGATAGTAGCAGACTTGGAATCAGGAGGACCGATTACTCCTATTTTTGTACCACTATATATATTTATATTCGTTTTTGTTATACTTTGGTGACACTTGTTTTTACTTGTCTTGATATATCTGTATTATCGGTATTTTGCTATGTATACGTTTTATATGGTAGTTCTGGTACATGTATATATTGATATATGGATTTTTATCGCATGAACCTTTTTTATGACTAATTTCATAGTATATTTTATATGGATTTAAACGTTATTTAAATATGAAAAGAAATTTCTGAATAAGATATGTAACCGCTTAGATTTGGGCATAACGTCCAGGCCGGGTCTAGGGGATTACACAATCTTTATATGTCTCTTGAACAATGGATATAAACACCACATATGGCTAATATTCTCGAGAAAGGCACTTCAGAATACTCATGATATGTTGAGCTTGTGAAACCGGGCTATTGCCCGAGCTTAACGCATCGCAAACCTCATTTATACGAGTAAGATAGAACATCATACTGTCATGGCCCTTTTTGATGGATTGAAGCTTGTAGAGCAGGTTGATGACCGTCGTGGTTGATTGATTCGTGAAAAATTACAAGATCGTCCGCCGCTGTGTCCACCCTAACGAACTGTGAAAGTGGGGATGTGTTAATCGTAGACAGTAGCCATGAGGCAAGGGCACTGTCCTGAGCAACATATTCCTCAAAAAGCTCATTGCAACCATTACACCACTCTCATTGGCCACCATTTCCGGTGAAGGTTGCATCGATCCAGTTAACATCCGTTCGAGCTGATGACTGCGAACGGTCAACAATACTTGATGTTTCCACAACAAGAAATATGTCTCATCAAGGATGATACTAATCTTCTTGTTGGAGAAGGATTTTCCAGTAGACGCCGAAAACTCCATGAACATCAAGGTGAAGAAGCATCAACAGAAGCGTAGAAACGGGAGAAAAGAAAAGAAAAATGAACCACCCCTCAGATCTGTTTGGTGATAGATACCATGATGGATTTTACGATGAACAATGCAAAACACGTGAAATATTATTGAATGCATGAGAAAACAAAGTACAACACAATATTCTTTAGGGTAAACTACACAAGAGACCACTAAACTAAGGTCAAAAATCAATGTGACCATCGAACTTTCAATTGAATCAATCATACCACCCAACTATTTAATTGATTTAATCAAACCACTGGCCGTTAATTTTTAACCGTTAATTTTTAACAGAAGTGGCGACGTGCCTGTTAATAAAATTGTAATAATTATATATTTTGTTTTTAATATTTACATATTCTATTAATTTAGTCACTATCCAATTAGAACATGACACATATTAATATATAATTAGAAGGTTTTATTTATGAATTTTAAATTATTTAATTAAATAATTTTGTATCCAATCAGATAGTGACATATGTCACCACCCAATTGAAATGAAAATAAATGGACCAACTTGTGCGCAAGGAAAATCGTACCAGGGACAAGGGAGATAAAACAACCAGGTGCCAAACCATTGAACCAAAGGTCTTTAATGGATTAAATCTAAAAAAAATTATATTTGTCTTTTAAAAGTTTGTTGAGGATAAAAAAGTAAACAAATTATTTGTCTTTTAAAATTTACAACTACGAGTGTTCAAACGATTAATTCGGTCACCGAACGAACTTAATTAACTATAATCGAAATAATTAGTTTTTTTTCTTTAATCGTTAATCGAACCTAAATTAATTAAAAATTATTAATCAAACCGAATAAATTTTGATTAATTCGATCAATTTTCAAATTTATCAAAACTTTTTAATTTATATAACAATTGAATATTTTTAATTCAAAAAAAAAAAAACCTGTTCAGCTGCACTACAATCTGAAACAACTCGTAAAGTCTAGAAGCTAATCTATAAGCTAATCTCAAAAAGATCCCAGTATCCTCCTGCATCCCACTTTCAAACAAACTCATTAAAAGTTCCACTTCCCCCTGCAATGAAACAGTTTCTATAAACCTACACTCCAATAAAAGAAACGATCTTCAGAGGTGAAGACAAGGAGCAAAACTGACTTTGGGGCGGAACCAATTATCACTGGAGAAAGCAAAGACACTAAGGACTTTAATCCCCCATTTGCAACAGAGTTCCACAATCGTTCTCAAGGACCTCCCGCCGGCTTCATAGCCGGATCTCACCGGTAAGTCTCTCGACCGGGCCCATCTCCGGTTCCCGTCCATGATGATGGTCACGTGTCTCGGCATTGCCTCTCTCCGTAGTCCCAATGGGAGCGTTCGGTCAACTTCTACTACCCCATCAAGGTCGTTGTCTTCTTTGCCGTGATGACTGAGTGTGAAGTGATCTATGGTGGAGCAGGGTGGGGACTTGGGCAAGTGGGGCGAGGGGAGCAAGTTGAGTGTGATCTGGTGGTGGTGTGGCGCGTGAGAGAAGGGCTTTGAGGGAAGAGGGTTGATGGCCGGAGGCGAGGAGAATTGCAGAGTGAAGAGCATTGGCGGAGCAGGGAAAGCTGTTGTCAGTCAATTTTGTCGGCATATGGAAGATTTTCGATATGTATGCTTTTGTCAGTCAATTTTTTCTTCAATTTTGTCGGCATGCCATGATCATAAATTTAGTACTAATGATTATTTTCTAGTTTTTACTTTCACTTCCAAACTTTTAAGATTTTTCTTCAATATTTATTAGGAATAATTTTTTCTCTCTCCTACGTATTAATTGTTAAAAAAATAATAATTTTATTATTATTATTTTAGATATAATTAAACATTTTTAAGGTGATTAAACTGAAATTTTAATAGTCTTGGAGGTCAAAATGAAGATTTGCCCTAGCCTTCTTTAAAATTTCAAATTTTAGGAGGGTTAATGTTGAAAAGATTTCTCAGTAAGGGCTACGGTGTCATGCTCCGCACTTCAAAGGAGAAGATAAGTTGTCTCTTTTGATGACGTGTATTTATTTCGACACTCGGAAAAATAGGGTTGTCCTTGTATATATATAAACGAGAACGTTGTACATGGTAGTATTAAGAGAGTAATATTAAAAATCACAAACAGAAATATAATTTTATATTAAAGAGTGAATTTATAATTTTTTAAAAATGAATTATAAAATTTTAGGAGATAAAAATAGATTAAAAACATAAAATACAAAAAAATATTTAAATTATATAAGAACTTAAAATTTTCATTAGGATAATTATTCCCGTGAACTCCTCTAGATCCATCCATACTGAAAATAACATTATTTATCATAATAATATTTAAACACCAACATTTATTAAAATAATATTCTTTCAGCAAATGTGTGCCACGTGGAAGCGGTTTAAAAAAAGTGCGTATTGTGAGATGCAAAAGCAATGAAAATAATTTTTCCCAACTGGATGTCAATACAAGACTAAAATGAAAGAAATGAAAATAATGAGCCAATTTTTTTTAAAAAATGTATAAATTTTATTAAAAATGGTTTAACGCATGCAATGTGTGTAGAAGACATGCAAAAGCAGGAGCTAGCTAGACAATAACGGTGCATACATGTAGATTGTCTTTAATCACTCAATAAGTATATGTCTGAAAAATTATATTTAAATATTTAAAAAATAATATAATTTGAATATTACTTTTTAAAATAAGACTTAGCAACTCAAAATTATTATTTTTGATTCACTTTATTGTATAATCTCTTTTTGATTATTGCTTTCTATATATAAGACTTAGCAACTCAAAATTATTACAGGCAAATAACGGTGCATACATGTAGACTTTTTGATTCACTCAAAATATAATTTAAATATTTTAAATTCTCATATAACTTAATAATATATTTTTTATCAAGAATTTAATTTTATCCTTTAAATTTTATAACTAGTCTCTTAATATAAAATTGTTTGCCTGTAACCCAAGATTATAATATTCGAAAATAATTATTTTTGATTATTCCTTTAAAAATGACGATAAAAAGGACATCTAACTACCAAAAGTTGGATAATCACATGATAAAAGAAAGACAACATATTATTCATATATAGAGAGAAAGAGAACACCGTATAGTCGAATATTATAATCTTGGGTTACAGGCAAACAATTTTATATTAAGAGACTAGTTATAAAATTTTAAAGGATAAAATTAAATTCTTGATAAAAAATATATTATTAAGTTATATGAGAATTTAAAATTTTTAACAACCGGGAAAGAAATCTATCACTTTCATCTCGTAAGAATCACATAAAACCATGTGGTCTACAAATGCATTTGCTGCACATCCATCACCCATCTTAATCACCTGCAGGGAAGTAGCTACAAATATTTACTTCTCCACACACGTTCGTACGTTTGTTGTGTTGATATATATATATATACACACACGCACTCGTGTGTATGTATGTATACGTAGGAGCGTAATATTTTAAATGTAAGCATAAGCTAAATTGCTAGAGGGATTTAACTTATTCTTGATAGCTGCAAGCATTACAAGAGGGAAACAAACAAACTCAATGAGACAAGCTCATTTTCCATTACTAATATATATGGCCACAATTTAAAAAACACACAAAAGAGAGATCAATACACACACACACACAGAGAACAATGTTGCTGTTGTGTAGTAATTGTAGCCTGTCTTCATCAAGCTTCAACGGTGTACCCATCTTTAACCACAATGCCTACTATTATAACACACTATCCGTCTAAACTTCGACGGCATGACAAATTGATATGCAAATTCGTCAGCTTTCAGGCAGGCCTGGGATACGAAAAAGAATAACAAATGCTCGAAACCTTTCCGTCTTCAAGCTCCGATGATCGTGTCGATACCGTTGCTCAGAGGCATTTTCGATACAAAAAAGCAAGCCCCGATAACGATGTAGAGCAGTAGGAGAACCAGTCCTTTCAGGTAGTGAGAAGTTCCATCCTGCAAATTTGGAATTACAAAATGTTTTAGATTCAATATGTTTTATGCATGGTTGAAACGAAAGTTGATGCTGTTGTCGTTTTACTTGTAAAGTAAAGGCAACAGCGATGATGGATAGAGCGAGTGAGCCGGTTTCAAGGAGATTGAAATTAAGATCCATTTTGATTCCCATAATCCAAGCTACGACAATGCAGAGTGGGACCTAAGTCAACAACAACATTGAAATATGTCGGGTTAAACTCAGAAGGCTCCAAATTTTCTTAGTCAACGACAATGGAAGGGCTCAATTATTCTAGTTTTCGTACCACAAACATGGAAATCTGAGTTGCGGACCCTAATGCAACACCTAATGAAATATCCTGCAATAATATTTGAAATTTCTGTGTCAACAACATATTTGCTTCATTGATAAAACAGTTGCTGATGATCCCAGTGATATATTTGGTATTTAGTATTTACTCACCAGCTTGTTTTTGAAAGCAAAAATGATGGCTCCTGCATGTTCTGCTGCATTTCCAACAATGGGTAGCAGAATAATGCTGATGAAACTAACAGAAATTCCCCAAGAATCCGAGGCATCCTGGAATATTTAGTTGATTAATTTTCAATAAACGGACTTTTATTAAATGGTTATAGATTCATTATCAACCACAAAGTTACCTCGATTGTTTCTACAACATATTCAGAGAGGAGAGATATGACAACAGTCATTCCAACTAGCCATATAAATCCACTCCAAAATCCGATCACCGGCTCTTCCTCCGATACCCCGTCATCGTCTTCTGATTCCTGATCGATTGCATTACAAAGGGTTATTTACCAAAAAATCTGTAAACTATAGTTTGATGAGCTTGTGACATTAATGGAGTACCTCTTGAGCTTCAAACAATTGCCGGTGTGTGAATAGCTGGAAGACCAGGTACGAAATGTAAGCAATCAGCATCACAATGCTGCTCGCCCTTGACAACTGCAGCGTAGGATTGGCCGTGAGAGCGGCGGATGCGCCACTCATTCGGAACAACAATGGCAACGAATGACACAATAATGCGAGCAAAAGAAGGAGAGAGTTCACATCGGCTTGTCTCTGTCGAAATTCAACAGTGTTTGAACACCCAGATTAGTAAATATTTCAAAAAAATTGAAGATTTGTTAGGTAAGATATTGCATGTTAAAGTTGGACAAGTACTCGATCGTATTTTTGTTCCCTTCTGAGGTTGGCAATACCGCCGCAGAAGAGGGAGGTCCCAAGGACCAGAAGCAGGTTCGATAGGACAGAACCGAGCAAGGAATACTTGACCACATCTATTTTATTTTGGCTCAGTGCAAATATAGCTATGATCAGCTCGGTTGCATTGCCACAGGTTGCATTCAACAGCCCTCCAACTGCAAAATCAAATAATGATCAGTAAGGTCGGCAATCATGGAAAAATATATGTATGTGTTGATAATAAGCAATTTACCTGTTGGACCAGTGTAATAAGCAATTTGCCTGCACAGAAAGGAATTATGGTTGATCAAATTGAGTTTTAGTGATCAAGGATCGAAGAAGAAGAAACCAATATGAAAATGGCTTACTCGGTGAGGAAGCTGACTCGTTCAGCCAATGGTGTAAGTCCAAGTAAACTCAATGCAAAAATCCAGGGCTGTTGATTATTTTAAAGGAAAACTCATAAATGTCAGCCCTTGAATCAAGTGGAAATAATATTCAAATCATATTTGACTTAATTTCCAAATAAGTCAGATTAATATTCACCCACTGCTTCATCAAAAACCAGCTTCCATAAAAAGATGAAAAAAAAAGAGAAAGAAAGAGACTCACTCTTCCAAAGCCATAGCACTCAGCAACAATGGCCAATGGAATAGCAGGAAAGAGAACCGAAAGTTTTGTCCCCAAAATGACCTCTTGAAGATTAGTGAGGAACTGCCTAAGCATCACAAAACGAACCTTGGAGACAAGGGTCAAATCCGATTTTTTCCTCAACGAGGAAGACGACATGTTATGTGCGGTTCTTCCATGGCGAATCTCCTTGCTACAACCCTTCAAGTTTCCGTTCTCCAATAGCCATGGTTCTTGAAGGGAAGCCATTTTTGTTTCTTTGCAAAACTATTTATCTCAGACAAAAAAAAAAACACAATGGACGACTGTGATAAAATGGAATTAAAAGACTTGAAATTCTATTCGGATGAGTTTCAAGAGTGAGATTCAGACTGTTATAAATAGAGGAAACTGGATGCAGCTTCCACGAAGCTTCTCAAAACAATTTAATTGAGGCTCTTATTTAGGGCAAGACACATGGACTAAGATAATAATTCTATAGGGAATGTTTCAATTGCATGATTGAAGTTTTTATTATATTATATTCTTGATGATGCATTATTGGTATTGTATATGATTTTGTATGGATGAGGGAATGATTAGTGTCAAAATTCTAATTAACTAATTATGTTTAGACACTATAAATGAAAGTGATAAATTTTTATAAGAGTCATGAAGATCTATTTAAATTTTAATTATCAATATTTAATTGATTTTATCAGTGGTAGATTACTTGATTATTATATATATATATATATATATTCATTAATAG